CAATATTGCATTATTTGTAAGGTTTTAACAGGAGTTGGAAAGTAAAGAAATATATGCTGAAACCTGATTTGCTTTAAGCATAAGATTACTTGTTTACATTGCTTTTTTACATTGTGGAATTGTAAACCTGTTTTTGCCAAAGTGGTTCAAATAAACATGCTAAATTTAGCTGGTTTACTGTCAGGGCTGCTCAGTGGCGCAGTGGGTAGCACTGGTGCCTTGCAGCAAGAAGGTTCTGGGTTCCATTTCTGGCCTGGGGTCTTTCTGCATGGAGTTTGCATGTTCTTCTCTAAATTGTCCTTAGGTGTGAGTGTGTGCATGAATGCCCTGCAATGGACTGGTGACCTGTCCAGGGTGTACCCTGCCTCTCATTGACTGCTGGAGATAGACACCAGCACCGCTCACTACCCCACTTGGGACAAGTGTGTAAGAAAATGGATGGATGGTTTACTGTCAGTGGATGATTGAATGGGGGGGATTTAAACTCAAAAATGTAAGTTATTACAGGGGATGGTAATCTGAATTTAAAATAACTTTTGACATCTGAACTTAAAATAATAAGTTTTTACAGACTTGAAAGTTCCAGTAACTTGAATTAAAAAAACTTAGTTGGCAGAACATGAAAAACTTACTGACACAGCTTAATAAGTGTAGTTCTGCAAAACTTAAAAAAATTAAGTTGATGCCTTCAACTCAAAAATTCTGTGCAGTCGGTTGCCTTGAAATTTTGAGTTTAACTAACTTTTTATTTTTTACAGTGAACAACAAAATGATGTATCCCATGATGCTAATTACTGACACGCTTTAAAGATGCAGCCCAAATAGTAGGATTATTTATCATTGATAGTGTATAATCAGACTATGATACCAAAGTCTTTCAGTTTAGAAATGGATCGTGTTTGCCTTCTTTCATTTCAGACCTTTGATATTTGACACAGCTTACTACTTTGAGCTTACTGAGTTTTATGTTATCTTAATACATACTAAGTCGACTGTCTAAATATGACTAATATTGTGAATATTACTAAATTTACAGTTCTTAACATTTTTCTTCGTAATTCATTTTTCAGAAAATGTGACATACCTGTCTGGTAAGTTAAAGCATACCTGCCTTTTCTTAAATACCAGTATCATATTTTTAAAATCAGGACATTTTAAATAATTCAGATGTTTGTTGTTCTGGCAGCACAAAAAGCATGCATATTATATATTACGGGGTATTATTTTCATTTTTAGTTTAATGATTTATTTCTGATGGTCAAAGGCGGATTTAGAAAATTTGGGTTCCTAGGCAAAAACAGGTTGTCTTCTCTGAAATGAGAAGACAACACATAAAACAGACCCGTTCTACAGCTACAGAAATTTTAATAGAATAGACATACATTAGACATATTTACAAACGTAAATAACAGTCTTTCTTTTCAGTATAGACAATTTTTCATTTGTATGAAATAATAGCTGCATGAATCATGACAGCAGATAAGATAGGGGAGAGCAGGAAGCGGGGTTACCAATCTACTTGCTCTGGAGAGCAGAGTTCGCTGCTTTTAGATGTTGTCACTTAAGTCTCCAGCAACAGAAAAAAGTCGTTGGATTTGGCGCTAGGTACTTTTTTGAAATAAAACCACTAGAGGGGTCTGAAAAGTCACTTCATATAACCACAATAGTGCTAAGTTGGAAACACTCCTCTTTGCACCGTTTTCAAATGGTTTGCTTCTGTCTGTTTAGACCTTTCTGAGCATGTGCATTAAATGGACTGATCCAATGTGGTGGACAAACTTTATTTTATAAGCGTTTTGATGGCATTTTATCAAAAACACAATTAATGTACACAAATAAGAAATAGTTGTATTAACTACACATCCAAACAGACTTTTAAGGCAGCCTCCAGGATCTTGGGGCCCTAGGCAATTGCCTAGTTTTACCTAATGGCAAATCTCCCCCTGGTAATGGTAAAGGACATTTATAAATGCTGATATATTGTTGATACACCAGCTATTAGATATTTCCACATTTATTTTATCAAAGAATATGACACACACCTCCACTATTTTCAATTGCTTTTCCATTGATAATTTCATAAGATCATTATATAACTGGGAGAAAAAACAGTTCTACCTCCAAATAAATTGGGAAATCAAATCATTTTACTGCTGTTATTCCTATCAAGGTTTGTTTTCCTGAGAGCACCCGGAATCGACATATAACTAGGGTTTTATTTGCATATTTTGTCAGAGTGCGGTCTGGCTCCTCTCAACAACAGGATAGTTGGAGGAGAAGCAGCTCCTCCAGGCAGCTGGCCCTGGCAGGTCAGTCTGCACACATTCGCACACATCTGTGGAGGATCTCTGATCAATGACCAGTGGGTGCTGACTGCTGCTCATTGCGTCTCATGGTAAGTCACCAGGATATGTCTAGCTCTTCACTTCCCAGCCACATAAATTTTTGAAAAACGTCATTTTTTTCTTCTATGAAATTATGATAAAATGCAAGTAGAAAAGCACATGCTGTAATTTAATAACAGGATGAAAAAAATATCATCAACATTTGAAATGACATAAAATTAACTGAAATTGGTTCAGATCTCAACAACTGAATCAAAGTGCACTAGAAGTAATGTTTTACCTTCAGTTAAGAAGCAAGTAATTTAGTGATCTCTTTTCTGCCCTATAATAAAGGCTCGGCAGCACTCCTTTTCTAACAGTGTATCTGGGTCGTCAGAATCAGAGTGAATCTAACCCAAATGAAGTCTCTCGGACAGTAACAAGGATCATTATTCATCCTGGATACAACATACCACGTTTTAACAATGACATTGCGCTTCTGAAAATGTCTGAACCAGTGGTTTTCAGCAATTACATCTCACCCGTCTGCCTGGCAGCCTTCAACAGCACCTTTAACATCGGGGAAGATGCCTGGGTTACTGGCTGGGGCAACATTGGATATGATGGTGAGTTTTAAAACCATTTATATGCAAAGAAAGCATTAATTTATTAATACCAACATTTTTATTTTAGATAGGAAAGGGGCAGAAGTCTTTTTCTCTATGAAAAAAGATCTACAATAAAACCTTAAATAAATACTTTTTCTCTAATGTTGCAGTGATTTGTCTGGCTTTGCAGTTGGTCGTAAACAGACCTGCTGTTCATAGGGTATGAATCCCATAGTTCTTGCACAGTAGATGATGACAAGTGAAAAGATATAGAACCAATCTACATATACTTCATCCAAATATCTTTAGCAATGTGGCAAACTATCAGGTGGACCCAGCAATATAGGCAGCACCTCTTCCCTAAGAGTGATTTAGAAATAGACCAAA